AATAGGCCTATACATTATATAAATCACATGTCAGTGATTTATTACTATCATTTTATATATAAAATTATAGTATCTATAGGCCTATATGTATTAATCTTTACAATTTCAAATATATATACTATTAACGCAATGATTATTAATGTTTATATAATATATGATTCTGCTGTTGTTAATTGTTATTTATCATCAGGTAGCAGGGCTAGTAATAATAACAATATTGAATAGTATTATTTTTAGTTTTAGAATTATTAGATGTACTGAAAATTATAGGCCTATAAAAAACAATATTAATCAACAAAATACATCTCATAATTACAAGACATTACATGATTATAAACGAAGCTTAGACCAGACAATGAGTATGCCTAACTGCAGGCTTATAAGCGGGAAAACTGGGTTTGTGAATCTACAAGTAGATTGATGAATCGTGTTGATGGAACAAAAGATTAGCTCTTAAGTATTGCATATTATTATGCATCTACGTCGATAAACTATTGTCATTAGCACAGACACAGGAAAGATTAGTTCATTATTTCTTCCGCAAAATAATCGGTTGTTTTGAAGCTCATGGTATAAGGTTAGGCTAATAATATATAAGTTGCATGCGGGTGTAAGTTGGTGTAGGTTTAAGTGCATGAAATATAAAGTTAACCTTAATGAACATGATATACCGTTACAAATTTACACTACAAATATAGAAATAATAATACTAAACATCTAAGGAATATCCATGTGCACACACACTCTACTCTCAATATAGGCCTATCTATGTTTATAAGATATTAAATCGCGTTTTATGTAATTGCGATATAGGCCTATATATTGGAAGATGTTAAAATCAATAACTGTCGTGACAAAGTGTCTATTGGTTGCTTCTTTTTAAATTCAAAAATATACAGAAAGCAAATTAGGGGTATATTCAAAAGTTCATATCATAAATACATACCGACAAACAATGAAGAAACGTGGTAGTGAGAACAGAATGTCGCGAATTTAATAATGATAAAAAACAAACACGTTGATAATTAAGGCATTGCACAATATGCGCTATATAAATAAATCATTATAACACTATCATTAATAGGCCTATTTGTGGTAGTCTCAAATTTTAAAATAAAGAGAATATTATTGTTATTAAATTCCTAAAAAAAAATTGTACTGTATGTATGTATGTCTGTGCATGTTGTAAGCAGTTTGTGTGTGTGTAACCCGATGAATAAACGATGAGATGACAACAAATTGGTAAATTTGTGCTTTAAGTCTACCAAGTCCTTGTCATCTCATCGTCTTTTTCATTGATATATATATATATATATATATACATATATATATATATATATCCTATATATAAATACTATAATAAGATTGTGTATATATATATATATCAATTACATACTCTGTTTATGTATTAAAACTTTCATAGCACTATACTTTACTGAATTGTGATATTGATTACAGTATTGTACATACGAAATAAAAATTCCATCAATACAGCACGAAATTAATACAAGTTTAGAGTTTTGTATACAACAAAATACAAGCGGTACCTAAAATACAACACCATTACTTCACCATCTAAAGAGAAAAATGTTATCAAGATGAGTTAATAACCATTATTATAGCCATATGAAATTAAATTAAACTCTGAAAGGATAGTTTTGCGACAATTTTATTGAGAAGCAAGTCGGTAATGTCGGCAATAAAACATGAATAAAACTATGATGTACATGAATCTTCATTTGTTTGGTGTTTAAAAAAAAAATTAGCTATCCGTTTTTGTATGCAGGCCCATGTGTTTACAGGCATATATCTCAACTTAGTTCTTCCGTGTCGTATACTTGCTTCTTCTTTGACTAATTTGAAACAATATAGCCAGAGGTTTGAAGCTTTTAATATTTCTCAATATATTATATTCTTCAAGGTTTGGCTTTGTAAATGACAGAAAAGGTAAACTTAAAATACATGCTCTTAAGCCATTATCTCTGAAAGGGTAGTTCCGTGCATTACCATCCGTTGGTTTGATATGCTCTGTTTGCCTACTTAAGTTAGAAAAAGTATGAAGTTTTCAAGAAACTATGTAATGCCATGTATTTTGATTTTGAAAGGTAAAGCATAGGCTCAGATTTTATGCGTTGGTAATGAAGAGAACAAATCAAAACAAATTAAGCAGTATCATATTATGATTATAATGTCAGAACAATGCAATAAATAACAATGGATGTTTTGTTTTAGTTATCATTAGTCTTACTTTTGTTGCTTTATTTCTGAATGCATTGGTTAGTTAGTTAGTGTATCTACGGAAACGTGTATGTTTTCATAAGTAAGCCTGCATCTCCATGTTTTTAACCATCACTAATATCACTCGATAAGTTATGTATTCTTTTTGATTAATAATTTTTAAGATTGTAGATGGAACGTAGGCTTTTTAATATTCTTGCAATCTAAGCGCAAGGCCTGGGTTCAAGTCGCATCAAAGCAACCTTCATTACATATAAGCATCATGCGCCCTAAGCCCTGTCCAAGCTATCAAATTTCATTTGACAAAAAGCCGTTATATGCCCATATAAAGACATAATGTGCTTATATATAGTCATAATGTAATGTCATTATGACCATATTGAGGCATGTCACATGCATTATAAAATAAAATGTCATAATTTGTACAGGGCGGCAGTATGCTGTAAAGCGTAACAAGAGCACCGTAAAACAAAAACTGTTAATAAGCAAAATTAATTAAATGAAATATAAAATAAGATTCTTAGGCAAGAAAAGCACAGTACCATGACCTGTATTGTCACTATTATTATATTTATCAATAGAGAAATCTTCAAATGTTTGCAACATTATGTACATCGTATCTAATAGAAAAAAGGTAGGAAATCTAAACAACAGGAAATTTACCAACATTACATATTGTCAAAACATATATTTCTTTCATGTCCTAATGGTTTTTGATTCAGAAACTGCATTTTCAAAACTTTTTTCAGTGAAGACTTATTTGGTATGATTTCTTAACCATAAATATATTTATGCGCCATTTTTCTTGCTGCAAGCTCTCGTTCCTATATAAACATTGTGGTTGTCAACAAAATAATGACTAAGTTG